GAGGCTGGCCATGAGAGGAGAGAGTCGAGGTGTCTGAAAACCTCGGGTTGACGGTTTGAGTTCAGGGGTTTTAGGGTGTATGGGTGGTGATAATGGTTTTGCAACATCACGTCTCTGATTTTCTCCGACGTTCCCGCGTCCTTCCGCTCAAGATGATTCCTCAGTTTCTGGACAGCACCAAGCAGCCTCCGTCCGAAGAATCGGAACATCCTATGACTGATCCAAGGAACACACCTTCGCAATTTGTCGGGACACGATCCTAAAGCGGTGGCCTGAATGACTAGCAGCAACGACAACAGCAGTATATATATATATATATATATATTTTTCACCCTTAGATCATTATGTCCTATGTCCCCTACACAGTGGTACCATATCATGAGACCCCGAAAGCACAGTTCTGGTTGTTACGGCCCTTGCTTTAAACCCTATGATGATTGCAGCCTGAGAAAAAGCCTTTTGAATGCCGTTGTAAAGTACCGTCCCATCTTTCCCCCGGCCCACCTACAGACAGGCTTGTCGCCGCTTGGGCCTCGTGCCCGAAGACCTCCAGTGGTGGACCCGGTACTCCCGCATAACCTCCGGGCTTTAGGTGTCATGAGGATTTGAAAGTGTTTCAATAGGAGTGATTAAGGATTCTATAGGGGCGTTTCAGCTGCTTGTACTTGAGCAGTATTGTTTTACGGTGAGTCATGTCAATGGTTCATTTGGGCTCTCTTGGTCGTTCCTCCTTGGGTGTTTTGTTGGGTGCTTTCTTTGGTCGTTCTGAGATGTTCCGAGGCTGCGGGGTACAGTCGCAAAAGGCTGAATCCTTCGTCATCTCAGCCGCGTAGCCAGAAGCTCCGAATAGCTCGCTTCAAGAGGACACCGCAGGCAGGCACCTTTAACACCTTGGCTGAATCGGAGATCGATGTGGCCACGGCAATGATGCTTTCACACCCTCTTGTCTATGCCTGACAAAACCTTGCGGAAGACCTCTAAACCCCATGTGCCTGCTGAGTTTTGCCCGAGCTTCGAACTCCAGCGGCCAAGGATTCGTAGCTTCGAGTCCTTTGCGATTCCAGGGGACCTGAAGGCATCAGAAAGCCCGCTTCCAGATTTGTCATTGCAGCGTCTATGGGGTTTTTTTGATAGCTAGGGGTACGTGCTTTCGGGATCTTCACGACAGGGATCCCACAATTTAAGGTTCATATCCAGGACTTCCTTTTGCTGAAACTCCTCGAAGGATTTTTAGTTTCTGCGGCTTGGGCTTACCGCTCCAGCATTCGCTGCTTCGGGCTTTAGAGTCTCGATGCTGCTAGCCAGAACAGCCCTGACTACCCTACAGACTTACAGTGACTTACACTGCCTCTGAAAAGAAGTGACAGGAAAAGCATCAGCTCCGCTTCGAGCACTACGAGAAGAAGCGGAAGGAGCCCTTACGGTGCTCAGAGCCTTCAGAAATCGTGGACTACACAGTTTGCCGCAAAGAAAGGGGACATTTGCAGTGTTTGCCCTAGACTCCAAGCCTCTAATCCCTCGGCCTTAGAGAAAATATCGAAACGCAAACCCCCTATAAATCCCTATATAAACCCCTGTAAACCCTAAGCCCGAATGCCGGGACCCTGAACCCTTGAACCGAACCCCCTGGTGCCAAAAGCACGAGATTCACCTCTGTCTGAGGAGCGCTTCTCACAGGTCTTGGCAGAACGCGCGAAGGCCGGTCCTCTGTTAAAAGGCCCCACAAGTTCAGGGCTTAGGGGTTTAGGGTTTCCGGGAAGCCCAAAACTTAGCCCTTTGAACAGAATCCGCAAGCGCAAATGCACAGAGCCCAATAGACCGCAATGATGAAGGTAAGTCTGAGCGCCAGGCGCATTCAGGCAATATTCGTGGGCTTTCATGGACTTCACGCCCGGCGAACCAAGGAAGCTCCTAAATAGTGAGATCCTTCACAACGGGAGCTCCAAAAGGGAATGCCCAAACTATGAAACATCCTGTGGGCCCGATCCCCAACTTCTTGTCCAAAGCCCAAGTTGCATAGAACCCTAAATCCAGCAGACACCCCAGAAGCTTCAATAAATTGCCTGGGGGGATGCACTATGCTTCTGCTAGGTTTGGAAATGCTACGGAGTACCACTGCTGATCATTCAGGCTCCTCGCTTAGCAGCCCTAAAGCCCGCATCAAAACATAAAGAACAAAAGAAAAGCCCGCTTACTCAGCCCTTGGCCCGCTTCTCGCGCTCAGGTCTTGAAAACCTAGTCAGCCTAGAAAGAGGCTAAGCCCGAGACCTTCCCCTGTGATAATCGTCATGACAGCGGCAACATGTCGAATCGTGATAGCAATGAGATGCAGCTCGTTTGGAGTACTGTAGTATAGTAGATATCCTGACAAGAGGGCCACACAACAGTAAGATAAACCTTGGCTGTTGACTGTTATTTTTGAGTCTTTATAAACCACCAAAAGCCCTCGAACTGCAAGAAGCACCTGAAGCCCTAAACCCGAAACTACCCAAAGTTCGTCCTGAATCCAGCCTCCTTGAGCTCAAAACCCTCGACCTCTGGACGAGAGGTGATTGCAGAAAACTCCAAGAAGGGAGACATCCCCGGAGTGCAGAGCGCGCAGGTGTGATGTAAGTGCCGGGGGCTAGAACGACAAACCCGGCTCGCCAGACGGGTTCTTGCTCAGGAGCTCAGATTCGCTTGCCATTGGTTACCATACTATTCCGTATTCATGTAACTTGAGCTCTGTTCCTAGACAACGCGGAAGACCTTCAGACACGCCTTTTGGCCTTGCGCCTTGCAGCTCTGTCAGTTCTTGTCGATGTTGGAGTCGCTCTTTGAAAAAGAAGCTCGCCGGATGGAAATCGACATGAAGGCCCGGTTTGGAGCCAGTAGGGGTGGGGGGGGGTTTTGAATAATGAGTATCAGTACTATACTTGCAACAGTACCCCCAAGATAGCGCGGTTTAATTATTCAGCGTCCGATTTTCCAGTTCCAGTCCTCTGCCATCTTCGGGTCTCGGGGCTGTTTCTTCACGCTCATCGTCATGTTGGCTACTGGCATGTCTCAGGAAGCTCCTGGTAGGTGACTCCGCTCCTTCTGTCTGGTCTCATGGCGTCTTTACACATTTGGCCAACCCCTGCAAGGGCCAGCTTCGCCAGCACAGCTCCCTCGTGAAGGAAGGGCTCAACCTGGGGAGTTGTCGTGTTCTGGTAGTGAGGGTTTTGTTTTCGGTGAAGTGCCATTGTTTGCTGTTTCTTGTGGCCTTGCGTGGCGTGGGCGTTTGCAGCGGGAGTTAGTTGGAGCGGCTGCAATCTTGCTACGTTACTTCTGCAGGCTCCTGCTGTCAGACCCCAAGATTGCAGACTCACACCTGCCCTCCCTGTCCAGGACAACGAGGACCAGCTGAAGCTTGACTGCTTCAGACGGCCGGTGGCTGGTCGGTTTCGGTGACCTTCTTTTTCGGGTCCTTCTTGGTGCCTTTGGATGTTTCCCTCCTTCCTCACGGTTCCATGCCCGGCCGGAAGAACCAAGGAAGAAAGAAGGCCAGCTTCAAGAGAAGCTGATGGACCTTGATCGAAAGAGGCTTGGAATTGGTCTGATGGTTTGTGTCGTGCTGCACACGCTGCATCTGACCGTTTCCTGTAGCCATTGCCACAGTCATAAATCGGGATGCTGAAAGGACAGTCAATCCTCACACGTTCAACGAAGCCAGAAGTCGCTTTCGAGCTGAGCTGTCAAATTTGGACATGGTGATGCAAAGTCCGTTATGTATCCACCTACGACTGCAATCACGTTCCATAAGAAGAACGGCATACCCCAGCTAATGCGCCATGATCCGTTTTAATTGTTGCCTCCAAGCAGAGGGACTGCAACACAAGTTGCACGCAGTCTCCGCTCGTAGTGTGGGTTGCTGAGCTTGCCGCTGCACAGACCGGTTGAGACAAATCACGCTTCCTATCTCAAAATCTGAAGCTGAGGATTCGGAGAACTCATCCTAGCAAACAGCTATGGCTCTGACATGCTCTGACCTTACACGAACCATCGAACCAACAAAGGGTTCCCTGACGAGGGAAGTGGCTTCGAAGCAGTTCGAAGAGAAGGGCAAGATCACGAAGCAGCGGGGAGGGTACTTCTGACAATGGGTCGGCCCTTTGTAGTAGGCTCCGTTACTAGCATCTGAGGTTGAGGGTTTAGTTTAGTCTTTGGGGTTGAGGGTGTTTGGGTTTCATGTTCTTGAGTGTAGGTACTTCTGTAATCGTTCCATTGGGCTTTCTGACGTGCCCCTGGCACCTTTTCCTTATGTTTGCATTGTCAGTGCTTGGTGCCTTTGCGGCTCTCCGGGAAATAGGGAGCGCGTTAATTTTGCCTCAAGCCGAACGACTGCACGAACAATGATGAGCCAAAGTAAAAACACACGGAGGGGCTTGTGACAGGCAACGTTTTGGCTTTGGGATTCGGGTCTGTAGGGGTTCAGGGGTTCAAGGTTCTGAGTCTCTCGCTTGCATTGACAAAAGCACCCCACTGCTTTCACATGGCTTTCTCACGCCAGGGAGAACTTGGACAAGCGTCTGGCAATCAACAAGGTCCGGCATGCCTTTCCGTTGAGAGTTCGGGCGTTATGCATCTACACTCTTGTCGTTGGCAGTATGTTGCCGGCAGGCTATTGACGAGATTTATTCCGGGCTGCGTGCTGCTCGCACTCAAGCGCTAGCTTCTAGAAGCCCGACAGCCCAAAAGCACCGTCTCATGCCTGCAAGCCAAAGACCCTCCGCTTAGGCTTGCCCGGCTGATGCGACATCTGCACGTCCCAGTGATAGATGTCCAAAAAATTCTGAATTCACAACGACCTTAGTAAGCCCTGAACAACCCTTCAGCTCTTCCAGCCCCTCAGTCCCCGTCTTGTCAGCGGCAAGGAGACTGTTGCGAAGCTGGATGAGGAGCATAAGAAGAAGCAGGCACACGTTCGTCGTGTTCAGGGTGTCCCGGAGGATGCGCAGTCAGTTCTCATGCAACTTAAGCTCCCTTCAGCATTGCCAGTCACGTCCAGAATCCAATATAGGTGTCTGCCGTTTGAATCATGAAAAGCCTTCCGTCTCCGTGCGTCTTTATGGTTCCGACATAGTTATGCTAGACTGCTGGAACATCCGAACATCCCCTTGTGTACTTCTCAAATACACACTAGAGTTAACTTAGCAAACCGGCAAGCATTGAACTTCGCGCATCGGCAATTATGAGGGCCATGAGAGCTAAAGAGTTTTTCGCAGCAGGAGGGTCGCACAGGTCATTCTTCCGACCTCTATACGAAACCCGTGGTCAGCACCTGTGTCTCCAAGCCGCTTTTCTTGCGGAAACCTTCGGACACCTAGAGAGAAGCCGAGATGAATGTCCTGCTCGTGTGGAACCTAATGTAGCCGATGGCCCCAACCTTATAAGCACGCGGCACAGGCGAGCTATGCAGACGCAGTGGTTGCCGAACAAGAAAGGCTGGAGAGGTGGGGCCTGGTTTTGTTGCCGCCTGTTGGAAGGACCTTACATCTCAGGGTTTACAAAGTCCCAAAGGTCGGAGTCCAGAGGCCTAGAAGAGAGTTCTTCTGAAAGCCCATGAAGAACGATCGCGAAGCAACCGACAAGACATTGCCGCAATACTGCATCGAGTGTTATAGAACCCTTAGAGGACGCATACAAACATCCGTCCACAACTTGTATAGCATGTTGGAAGGACCTACGACACCCTTACCAACACCTCTGGAACCCCATATATCCCGAGGTTCATGGAAGAGCGGAAGCTCGCTACGTTAGAGCGTAGCAACGTCTTCCGAGAGAGAGTGGCGCAGATGAAGGCTGGCTTTGTTTTTTTGTTTAATGGGGGTTCAGGGTTTAGGGCCTTAGCGTTTGCAGGCATAGCTGCAGGTATGTATGTATGCATGCATGGATGTATGTATGTATTTATGCCTATAGGTATGTAGGTTTGTACGTATGTGCACATGTACGCATGTATGCATGGATGTATAGATGCATGTGTCGCTGCGTGTGTGGATGGATGCCCGGATGTAGGTATGCAGGGATGGATGGCTGCATGTAAGGTAACTACAGGATGTACGTACTTAGGCATGCATGTATGCATGTATGTATGCATACATGTATGTACGCGCGTACGTACGCACGCATGCATGCATGCATGCATGCATGCATGCATGCATGCATGCATGCATGTATGCATGAATGCATGTACGTATGCATACATGCTTGCATGTCATGCAATGCAACGCAATGCAATGTAATGTAGTGTAATGTAACGTAATGTAGCGTAGTGTAAAGTAAAGCAAAGTAAAATAAAGTAATGCAATGTAATGTAATGTAATGTAATGTAAGGTATGTGTAGGCGTGCATGTGTATGTATGTATGTATGTATGTATGAATGTATGAATGAATGAATGTATGTATGTATGTATGTATGTGTATGTATGCGTATGTGTGCGTATGTATGTGTATGTATGTGTATGTATGTGTATGTATGTGTATGTATGTGTATGTATGTGTATGTATGCGTATGTATGTATATGTATGTATATGTATGTATATGTATGTATATGTGTGTATATGTCTGTATATGTATGTATATGTGTGT